TCAACTCCAGGAAACTGCCAGGTAGTGGGAGAACTCGGCCCTGTTTTCATAGCCAATCCTGAGCCCCGGTGCTCTGGCGGATACAAGTCCCTCCAAGCCAGGGCCACTAAGGGACAAAGTCTGGGAGAGGCCAGGTAGATGTGTCTGTGGCTCCCACCCGTCCCCCACTGTCCTGGTCCCAAGAAGCAAGGTATAAAGAGCCATAGGCACATGGCCAGCCTGTCCTCACAGGGGCCACCCAAGGCTCAGCTTCCTTCCTCAGCCTTGAGCGTGGCCCCTGGAAGGGATGCCATGACGTCACCTCCAGGTAGCTGGGAACCAGGTGGACCCCACACTCCCCGGCAGACACCCAGGGTTCACTGGCCGCTTTCCCTGCAAGCTAGCCGCCCCCAATGATTTCCTCTTTTTTTTCTCCCTGAGACGCCGAGGTTTCGCAAGGCTGGGGAGGGGAGGCGGCCGCGGGTGACAGCGTGACACGCAGCCCGGCGGGGGAGGGGAGGCGGTGGTACCGGTCGCGCGGAGCCCACGCGGTGCCCTCCGGATACTCCGCCCCGTCACCGCCAGTCCCGGACGCCGGCAGGTGCACCCGGGCCGCACCCCGACCCAGCCAGGACCCAGCGCATGCCTCGTCCGCGTTCCCCGCGCCCCACGCAGTCCCGTCCACCCGGCCGCACCCGGTGCCTCCGCCCGACCCGCACCTACCCGGGGCTCCGCAGTCAGCGCAGCGCACGTTCCCCGGCCGCGTCAGCAGCTCCAGCAGCGCCCGGCGCCGCTCCCCGGCCATGGCTACGCGGCCACCGCGCCGTCCCGAGCGCGCCCGCCCGACTAGGGCCCCGCGCCGCGCGCCCGCCGCTCGCCCTGCGCCATCGCCGCCGCTCAGCCCGCGCGCCGGCCCCGATCGTGTCGCCGCGCGGGGCCGCCCTGAGCGGAGCTGCGCGCGCGGGGACCGGGGCGCAACGCACGGCGCGCTCGGGACGGCACGGCCCGCGGGCGGCCCCCAGCGGCGCGGTCAGGGAGTGGCCTCTTCGGGAGAGCCCGGCCTCTCCCGGTCCACCTGGGGCGGGGTCGCAGGGCACCCGCGCGGCGGAAGAATGGATCACCCCACACGCAAGCCTGTTGGGTTGGAGCTGAGGACGTGGGCAGCTCAGACCAGCAGCCCTGCCTGAGAATGGCAAACTCCAGTGCCCCAAGGATCCGAGGGCTCCACCCTCACACGTGTCCAACCAAGTCCCAAACCCTCATCCCCAGGAGATAGGACAGGAGCTGGCCACACCTCTCCTTATCTCCAGCAGGCTCCTTCTAGAGCTGTGTGTCTGTTCCTTTGCTCGCCCTAGCATTTCTTTTCAAATCCCATTTTCTCCCTCGATTATAAACGCAATAGCCAGTTGCCACGCCCCGGTGAAAAATAAAAGCCTATGCCCCCAAAGACCCTGAGAATCTGAGGATCCCATTTCACCTCCAGCCGCCTTTAGACACCCCACCCTCAGTCCCTACTACTGTTGGTATACCTCAGCCAGGGTGTTGGTTGCACTATGATTTGGCTCTGAGTGTCCCCCGCCCCTACAGGGACCCTGTGTTAAAGGGCTCAGTCCCCAGGGTGGCGCTATAACGTAGTGCTGGAACCTTTAAGGGTTGAGGCCTTCCTGGGAGGTGGTAGAGCATGCCTTGGCCACATTCGAGGTCAGGTCCACAGAGGACAGCCTAGGCTACACATAGAAATCCTGTCTCGAAAAACAAAACAAAACCAACAAACCAACAAAAGAGGTGAGGCCTACTGGGAGGAAGTTAGGTCACTGGGACCCCAGCCTCTTTCTCTTTCTTCCTAGGGATTGAGGGTGAGCAGTTTTGTGTGCCATCACGTGTTTCTGTCATGATGCTCTATTGCACGTTGTCTTTCTGAGTGTCTAACTTGATGTCATGGGCCCTCTGCTGAGGCTGTGTTGTATTTTTTGCTGGTGGCACCTGTCCCTCGTGCCCTGGCTTGTCACCCCTTTGCAGAACTTGCCTTGTGAGCTGGAGACAGAACATGCAATCGGCCCCATTGTACATTTTAGAGGTCATGAGGCCTGTGGCTCTGAAGGCTCACTCACTTATTTATTTATTTATTTATTTATTTATTTATTTATTTATTTATTATGTACACAATATTTTGTCTGTGTGTATGCCTGCAGGCCAGAAGAAGGCACCAGACCTCATTACAGATGGTTGTGAGCCACCATGTGGTTGCTGGGAATTGAACTCAGGACGTTTGGAAGAGCAGGCAATGCTCTTAACAGCTGAGCCATCTCTCCAGCCCTGTAGGGTCACTCTTTAACTGATACAATGTCTATCTCTTGGAGCCCACTGGAGCCTGGGTAGGGACAGGTGGCATTTCCACCTCTGGGCCTTCTGCCAGGTTGCAGACCTGGCACCCAGCAGGAGCTTGGAGAATGTGAATTACAAAGACAGACTGATGGGGGCTGGAGATTGTGACTCAGTTGGTGGAGGGTTTACCAATATGCATGATGCCCTGGATTCTGTCCCTACCTAGCACTGCAGAAACTAGGCATGCTGATGGATGCCTCTAATCTCAGTGCAGGATCCTCAGGTACACATCGAGTCTGGGGCCAGCCTGGGCTAAATGAGACCCAGTCTTAGAATTTTTTTAAATAGATAAAAATTAAAACAGAAAACAGAATGAAGGCAAAAAATGGACCAATGCTAACCGCTCTGTCCCAGGCCATAGAGAAAACACCCAAACAGATGTTTTCTTATTTGGTCTTCGCTGTTGTTTGTTTTTGAGAAAAAAATCTCTCTAGTAGTCCAATGGGCCTCACACCCACAGCCATCCTCCTGCCTCTGCCTCCGGAGTGCTCAGACAACAAGCAGGGGCCGCCACTCTTAAGCCCTGTGCTTCCTTACTCAATCCTCACTTTACGGTCAGGGAAACCGAGGCACACAACAGCCCGTGTACTCACGACAGGACTGGGATGACCGTAAATTCAGGAGACAAAGAGGCAGAGACACCCTCCCCAAAGAGAATAAATTTGCCCACTGGAGAGAAAAGTCCCGGGGAGACTTCAGAGCATACTCAGGCAGCCAGCAAGTGAGGTGCCACACAGCAAGATGCACCCACTGCCTGGTGGCAGCCTTCTGGGTGTGGCATGGCCATCGTGGTCTTGACACACGCAGAGCAGCTGGGATAGCCTGCACCAAGATGACTAACAACGCTCTTTGTCCTTTCCACGGGACTCTAGCCACTGCTACCTCCTACGCCAGCTGTACATGGCCTTGGGGTGCAAGGCGATGTATGAGGTGGAAGGTTAACTTGGGTTTCGGATTCTGGGTCGTTTTCTGTGGGTTGTCTCCCATGCTGGGGGTACGGAGGTTTTTGGTGAAGTAGATGCCTCTGAATGGTCTGCTGACCTGAAAATGACCCCGATAAACTCACTGGTTCACCATGGCACACTCGGGTAGACTTACTTCTTTGGTCTTCTCGGTGCCCCTACCCTCTGGGGCAGATGTGTGTAGATGTGTGTGTGCATGCATGTGTGTGCTTGTGTGTACTTGTGTGCACATGCGTGTGTGTGTGTGTGTGTGTTTCCCTGGGGAAAGTCACTTCACTTTGGATTAAAGAGGCAGGAGAGAGGATAAGAGAAGAAGGCTTATGGAGTGGACAGACCCTGGATATCAGCTACTGGGCAAAGACCTTCAATGGCTTCTTGGGTGACAGAGCCAGAAGGGCACAGGCATGCTGGAGAGCCTAGCAGGTCCCCCCTAGCTGTGCTCAGCTAGAGCAAAGGAACTAGCACTCACAGAGAACTGGGGAGCCAGGCTGACCTTGCTCCCTTGGCGGGGCCAGACCAAGGCCTGTCAAGGGCATCTCAAGGGCAACAGGGCCCTGCGGTCTCAAGTTCATGCTGCCCGTCTGCAGAGATAATTTGCTCATCTGAACTTTCTTCTGTTCTGCCCTTCCCGTTCCCCGCTCTGCTGTCTAGGCCTACATCACAGTCTCCAGCCCCAGTTCCCTAGCACTTCCCGAGTCTGAGGTCAGACATCTGCTTCCATGGAACACACAGCCGCACTGGATAGGGAGTGCCTCAGACAGGGCTTGTCTCCCGCAGCATCCTCTGAGTACAGGAATTCATGCACAGTAAGTCTGCAAGCCGCTGCCAGCAGGAGCTCAGCGACAGGGAGCTGAGCCCAGAGTCCGTGGAGAAGCTCAGAGTGGCCATCCCAGCTGCCGTCTAAGCACCAATGACCAGGCCCTGCATCCCTTCCCAACCGGCCACCTGTGCCCTAAAACCCTGACTGCCAAGAAGACAGCCACTCCGAGTGTAAAGAATTGAGCAAGCCCCCAGAACTCCCGCACGCAGCCCAGCATGCTGGTGGCTGTCCTTGCTCAGAGGAAGACAGAGGCAGTTTCCTTTCTTGTTATCACCAACAGAGTCATCTACCTGCATCTGCCTTCAGAGGGCTGGAATTAAAGGCTTGTGCCACCACCACCTGGCTGCTGACAGAATTGCTAAGACGGCAAAGTAAGAGCCAATAGGGGTCCATGAAGCGACCTTGAGGGTGGTGGAATGCCTGGTTCTTATCTGATTGGTTGTGTATGTGGTGGTGTGTATGTCTGCACACAGGTGCATGTGTGCACATTTGTGGAGGCCAGAGGTTGATGTCGGGTGACTTTGTCTCTTACGCTCCACCTTATCTGGAGGCCCAGGGTCTCTCGCTGAACCTGGAGCTTATCAATTCAGCCAGGCTGACTGGTCAGCAAGCTCCAGTGATCCTCTACCTCTCTCTCCCCAGGGTTGGGGTGATAGACACATGTTACTACCACTTAAATTTTTACATGAGTTTGGGGATCCATGCTCAGGGCTTCATGCAGGCACTTCACTGACAATCATCTTCTCAGCTTCTTGATTTTTTTTTAATTAAAAAAAATTATTTTACATGTAGAAGCATTTTGCCTACATGTATAGTAAGTGTACCACACGCATGCCTGGTGCTTGCGGATACCAGGAGAGGGCGTCATATGCCCTGCAAACTGGAGTTACAGACAGCTATGAGCTCCCACATGGGTGCTGGGAACTGAGACCGGGTCCTCTGCAAGAGCAACTGTTACTCTCAGCCACTGAGTCCTCTCTCCAGTCCCAGTGGTTTGGTTTTCTGAGACAGGATCTTAATAGGCACCCAGTCTGGTCTCAAAACCTACAGCCACATAAGCTGTCTGGTGTCACCGTAATAGCACCCGCGGCTCAGGTGCTGCTGGGAGCTGAACCCTCTCAGCTGCGCACAGGTGGGCAGGAGGCCAGCATGAGGATGACCTTGTCATCAGAGTCCCTCAAGGGACAGAAGTTACTGGATAGAGAGACGCTGTGGCCTAGCCAGGGAAGATGGTTGGTCAGAGCCCAAGTCTTGGGCCAGGATGGGGAAACTGAGGCTCTGAGGGAGGTGAAGGTGAGGCCAGGACATTGAATACCCTCATACTGGGCATCTCATTGTGGGCACCTTCCTTATGGGGAGCGAGGTTTTCTGTAAGGCACGAGGCGGTGGTGAGAAGGCTGGCCAAAGTTTCCCGGGGAAGAGGAAGTCCAGGAACCAAAGTCCTGAGTCAGTGTGGACCCCGAGAACTGCAGGAGCAACCCCACAGCAGTGCTGACAGCGGTTGGGTTATGCCGTGGGATAAACTGTGCCCTCCAAAAGACATATTGGGATCCTAGCCCAGGTGCCTACGGATGTGATCTTATTTGGAAACAGGTCCTTTGCAGGTGCTGTCACAGTTGACCGGGGTGGAATACGGCTGGAGTTCTCACTCAAAGAGGACACGTGGCCAGGCAGTGGTGGCATGTGTCTTTAATCCCAGCACCCTGGAGGCAGAGGCAGGTGGATCTCTGTGAGTTTGAAGCCAATCTGGTCTACAGAGCGAGTTCCAGGAAGTCCAGGGCTACAGAGAAATCCTGTCTCAGGAAAAAGAAAAAAAGACATGTGGGCACAGATGTGGAAAACCCAGTGGGCCAAGATGCCCAAAGACCAGGGAGCATATCTGCCAATCTAGATTAGCCAGACTGCCAGGAACACCGGAGGGAGGGAGGGAGGAAGGGCTGAAAAGACAGCATGGACAGAGAACTGCCCTGATGCTTCTGTAGCCACGCAGCCTCCCAAACAGAGACGGAGCCACCAATAAGACCTCAATGCTTCTTGCAGTTTCTCAGATCAACCAGCAACCCCCAGGCAGGTGGGGCTGGGGCCACAGGCCTGCAGCCGCTGCCCTGAGTGTCCTGTCCTCTTTGCGCTCCTCATCCTGTACTGAGCCACGTATCTGGGGCTTCTGCCAGAGGCATGGGCTCTATACAGGCCCAGAGAGAGGAAGAAGAGTAGGACCGCCCTGGGGAGGGGGGGCTGCAGCCCAAGCCTGGTGATGCACAGCCCTGGCCTTGCCCTGCCCAGACCCCTCCTCTGCCTCTGTTTTTTATTCTCTTTTTCCAGATCAGTAGGCTCCTTAACACGCCTATTTACTGCAGACATTAGCTGTACCTGCCGAGGACCCGCCTCTGCTGGAATCCTAACGGTGACACCTCCGCCCTCCAGGGGCAGCATGTGGCATGCTGGCCGAGGAGCTAGCACTGCACCGAGTCAGTGGGGGACCCCAGAGCCTAAAGCCACAGGGTCCTGGGGGAAGGGTGCTGAATGCATCTTGCTGTCCAATGCTGGGGTCCTGTGTGCCCGGAAACAGGACCCCCGCCCCCTTGTACTGAGCTCCACCCCACCCTCACCGCACCCCTGCTTCCCTCAAGGGTAGCCTTGGCAGGTCACAGTCATCATGACAAATAGGATCTGATGTGTTCTTTTTAAAATCCCTTTTAGTTAGTATTCAGAGTGATGGGTCTCTTCTGTTTTAAAACTTGGTCTTGGCCAGGTGGTGGTGGTGGCACCCGGGAGGCAGAGGCAAGCGGATCTCTCGAGTTCAAGGCCAGCCTGGTCTACAGAGCAAGTTCCGGACAGCTAAGGCTATACAGAGAAACCCTGTCTCGGAAAAAAAAAAACCAAACAAAACAAAACAAAAAACCAACTTGGTTTCATGTAGCCCAGGTTGGCCTAAAGGCCTAAAATGCATTTGGTTTTGTTTTGAGAAATGCTCACATCTATCTGGGGGGGGGGGGTCTTTAATTCCCCGCGTACCCAAGAGTGACCTTCAGGTCCTGACTCTCCAGCCTCCACCTCTTCAATGTTGGGATTACAGGTGTGTGCCACCACACCTGGTTTAAGCAATGCTGGGAACTGTGCTCAGAGTTTCATGCAAGCTAAGCCAGCCCCAGACGGGCTGAGCTACAGCCCCAGTTCCAGTGGTTTTGTGAGTCTCATGCATGCATAGCCTTGTGAGTCTCATATCACCCATTGACTTTCTTGTCCACCCCCACGTCTCCCTGGGAACCAATTTAATTTAATGTATTTGCCCAAACCCATCCCAGAGTGGGGAGAGAAACAGCTGATTTCCCAGCTGACCTTCACCCCAGTTACTCGGGTGGGGTCGGAGCCTGAGGGTTCTTCCAGGATATCTCTCTCTCTCTCTCTCTCTCTCTCTCTCTCTCTCTCTCTCTCTCTCTCTCTCTCTCTCAGATGAAGCTGGGGCTAGGGCCAGGGGAGCAGGGATTGGAGTCTACTTTTGCTCTTGGCAGGCTTCTCCTCCACAGAGTCGCTTGCAGGTGATAAAAGATACAAGGTGGGAGAGAGCAAGGCTTTCTCCTGGAAGCCCCCGTTTGAAGCTGCGGGCCCTCCCAAAGCAGCTCCGGCTGCCGCTGGCACACCAGCACAGCCCCGCCCCGCCCCCACAGACAGCATTTTGTTGTTCTCACGGCTGAAACAGAAAAATCAGATGGAAAGATGATCCGCGGCCAGGAGTGTTTCCAAGGAGTCCTGCTCAAGGGAGCCTTAAAGGAGCCGGCAAATGTATGACTGAGAACCAGGAGAGGGCTGCCAGGGCCAGGCCCAAGGACCTCTGGTGCCAGGCAGGGTGGGGAGGGCCTCATCTGGGGCCAAGCTGGCTTGGGCACCATGTCCAGGAGAGGGAAGCACTTTGGAGTCTCTGGAAGGAGATGGAACCCGGGGATGGGAGGGAGGCCAGCAGCGGTGAGTGCTAGGTTCACTTATGCACTGGAGGAAAATTAGAGTGAGTCTTTCAGATTCGGAATGTAGCCTAGTTCTGTAGAGCACTTGCCTAGCATGCAGGAAGCTCAAGACATCACCCCAGCACTGCATAAACCCGGCATGGGAGAGGATCCCTGCAATCCCAGTACTAGAGAGATGGAGGCAGGAGGATCAGGAGTTCAAGGTCATCCTCAGCTACAGAGCAAGTATGACCAGTCTAGGCTACATGAGACCCTGTCTCAAAAATCAACAACAACAGCTTAGATCCCAAATGAGACACGTGGAGGGAGTGCCTCATAGGGGGCAGCCACAAGATTGATAGGTAGACAAAGGCAGTGAGAGCTGGACACAAACCCCCCAAAATGTCCTTCCCTGGACAGTCTGGCAGTGGGAGGGGACCTAACTATTTTTGGTTCTCATAGCCCTCATAAGGACAAGAAATGAAGGGTCTCAGGGGCTGGGTGTACGCACCTGGTCTTGGGCAGGCTCCTGACAAGATGTCAGGTGATCCTCTTTTTCTTTTGGCCCTGGTAGTAGTTGTCTTGAGCAGCAGATTTTAAGTCTCATGCCAACTGGCTCAGCCTCAAGGAAAAGTTGAACCAAAGGCGGTGTCCTCCAGGTGACCCTCTCAAGTGCCGCAATGCCACTACTGGCCAGCAGGGGGAGACAAAACACAAAGTTTCCTTTCTCCAGATGCCAGACCTGCAGGTGAGTAGGACAGTTTCCCAAATGTGGTTTACTCTGGAAACCTGAGAATTTTGGGGGTGGGGAGTCGGAGTGAGGGTCGGGAGACGGGTTGGAGAGAGTTGAGATAGTGTCTCTCTCTATATAGACCAGGCTGGGCTTGAACTCAGAGATCCACCAGCCTCTGAGGTCACAGGTTGTGTGCAATCATGCCCCATCTCGCCTAAGGATTCATTCCCAGATCCTCAGGTGAGGTTTTATACCCCCTGCTTGTGGAATGTCCCTTCCCAGCATCCACCCCAGAGGTTCTGTGGCACTGTCTGATCTCAGGACCCAGAGAGTCAGTCTCCGGGTCCAGCTGCATTGCTGGCCTGAAGGACCACACGGAGTTCTGCATAGCCAGTTCCCAATGGACAGCCTAACCCGGCTTCTCTCCAGTCCTTTAAATCCCACACTGGGAATGAAAGGAAGCTGTGGTCCCGTTGCAGAGTCCTCAGAAGGGCTGTGAGAGAGGACCATAGGTCAGTGCCTCTACCTTTGTGTCGGGACTGAGTACTTCTGGACCCAGCACCAAGGGCCTTGCCCCTCAGCTTTGCTAGTGCTTAACACCAGTGCCAGCCTCAGCCTGGCACATGCCCTCTGCATCCTGTCTACCTCTACCTCCTGACTCCGGCCTGGCTGGTGGTGCTTGGGACTAGATGTATGTGGTGACAATTCTGAGTGGGCTAAGAGGACCTGAAGAAAGGCTGGTGGCGGCTGAGCCTGTGCTGTGGGGTGTGGACTGCTTGGTGTTCCTATGAGCGCACCCTCCTGATACCCACCTGGTCAGCGCAGTCACTGTGTCCCAGTCAGGCCTGGTGGATCCTAGGTGTCCTGGGCCTCCCACAGCCTCAGCCTCGGGCCCTCCACCTGCCCAGGGTAGGGCATGAGGTTTGTCTCCCCCCCCCCCCCCCGCCCCCGAGAGCCTCTGGGGTGATTATGTGCCTGGTTGCTCCCCCTCCACCCTTATCTCTGCTACTTGCTGCGTGCCGCCGCCCTCCTGGCTAGACCGGGTCCCTGCTCCTTTGTCCTTTGGACTGGGGTGGAGACAGGCTTCTCTCTGGTACAAAAGAGGGTGGGATGGGGCTCAGGGAGGGAAAGGGAGGGTAAACCCAACTTGGCCGGGTCACTAGCCAAAGGTCTGGCGAGGGGCGCATGTTCTAAGAAGGGTGCAGTGGACGCAGGAAGCTCCTTCAGTGCAAATACTTAGGCCCGGTTCCTCAGATCCAGATGGTAGAGGGAACTTCAGGGAGACATTGTTCCTCCCGGAAAGGGACACCAGCTCACACCTCGGTGACCAGGGACCTGTGGCTCCAGGCAGACATCTGAGTGTGTCATGTTCTCACAGCTGCATCTCCGCCTCTTTCTCTGTCCGGGACCACAGGTTTGCACGTGGTGGCTGTGGTTTTGGGTGGTCAAGTTCTGTGATGGCGGCTGCCATGTTGGGTCGGCTGCTGTGTGCAGCCCTGGGCTCCTCCGAAGACAGACACAGGACTCACCCATGGCAGGCAAGGTGATGTGTGCCCTCGTGGTGTCATTTTCTGCTGGAGACTCCACGGACCACTGACCGAGTCATCGAAGGGAACTGACAAGCGGGGGCGGGCAGGATCATCCGTGGCTGCCTTGACTTGTACCTAATGGTGTCATGGCTGCTCCATGGTGGCTGGCTGCTCTGGGTATATGGGCCAGATGAGGACGATAGGAGACAGGATCAGAATTTAGATTGGATTCTGGATCCCTGGAGGACATGCTCCCCGCATCTCCCCTCAGCCCAGAAAGCTTCCTGGACTCTCAGCCTCCGTCCTTCTGCCACTGCGGGTTCCTAGTATCCCAGCCATCTTTCGGGGGACTCTGGGTACAATTCTATGATGTTTGGTGTTCGTCTTCCCTGAAGAAGTTAAGCTGAGGGTGACATTTGCCCACGTTGCCAGCAAAAGGAGGGGCTTGGTGGCGGTTTCTGCCCCAGGCACTCCACTTCATAACACTGGGCGAGCATGGAGCTGTGAAATTTGATTTTGCTCCTCAGAACAGAACAGAGGTGTGCAATTTCATTCTGAGGATTATGACAAAGCCACTTGTTCAGAGGCTTAATAGAAACTTCTTTAATGTCTCTGGCAATAATAAAATCCCCGAGTTCTCACTGGTGTGGGCATTCGTCTCCCTGAAGGACTGTGTTGGAGCCCAGGTGGGCAGGCCCACACCTACCATAGAGGGGGCCTGTCTTCAGAGGAGACGGAGGGAAGCCAGGGGGGACAAAGAGCAAGCCTTGTGGGCTGGGCTAACCCAAGTCTCTCTCCCCAGGTGAAGGCCATTCACATTTACCCAAGGTGCCTCTTCAAATCCAAGGCCTCCTCTGACTGGATGTGGTAGCATGGGCCTGGGAGCCTAGGACTCTGGCTAGCTTAGGCTATGAAACACTGTCTCAATTTTTAAAACTGAAGAGTCTACTTGCTTCATCAACATACACACTAAACTTGGAAAGACGCTGAGATTAGCTGCGCCTGTACAGGGAAGAAATGCAAATCCATGAAGTGTTCTACATTTTGTGTGGTGTGTGGCATATGTGCGTTTGTATCTGGGGGTGTCCATGCATGTGGAGGCCTGCTCTATCACCCCTCACCCCCTCCTTATTTTCTGAGTCTGGAGCTAGGCTAGTGGCTGACAAGTCCCAGTGATCCTCTGGTCTGCCTCTCCCAGTGTTGGGGTTTTAGTTATGTGTGTGTCTACAGATGACTTTTTACATAGGTGCTGAGGATTTGAACTCAGATCCTTGTGTTTGCACAACAGGCATCTTTACCCAATGAACCATCTCCCAGTCCTAAATGTTACTTTAAGAAGGAAGGGGGGCTGGAGACATGGCTCAGAGGTTAAGAGCATTGCCTGCTCTTCCAAAGGTCCTGAGTTCAATTCCCGGCAACCACATGGTGGCTCACAACCATCTGTAATGGGGTCTGGTGCCCTCTCCTGGCCTGCAGGCATATGCACAGACAGAATATTGTATACATAATAAATAAATAGATATTTTAAAAATAAGAAGGAAGGAAGGAAGGAAGGAAGGAAGGAAGGAAGGAAGGAAGGAAGGAAGGCACGTAGCAGTGGCACATGCCTTTAATCTCAGCACTCAGGAGGCAGAGGTAGAAGGCTCTCTATGAATTTAAGGCCAGCCTGATCTATACAGTGAATTCTAGGCCATTCAAAGCTATAGTGAGACCCCATATTAAAAATAAATAAATAAATCAAGTCAGATGGTGGTGGCACAGGCCTTTAATCCCAGCACTAGGAGGCAGAGGCAGGCAAAACTCTGTGCGTTTGGGGCTAGCCTGGTCTACAAAGCAAGTTTCAGGAAAGCCAGAGCTGTTATACAGAGAAACACTGTTTCAAAACAAACAAACAAAACCAACCAAGCAATCCTCTGATCAATAAATAAAGTTAAAAAGAAGGGCTAGGGCGATAAATCAGTGGGTAGAGAGCTTGCCGCACAAGCATGAAGATCCCAGTTCCATCCCCAGATCCTGTAAAAAGGTAGGGTGTGGTGGGACACAGTTGGAACCCTAATGCAGGGGAGGCAGAGGCAGGCGGAACCCTGGGACTCGTGGACCTGCCATCTGGCTTAGTTAGTGAGTTCCAGGTCAGTAGAGACCTTGTCTAAAAAAAATACAAGGGGAGCCGGGTGGTGGTGGTGCACGCCTTTAATCCCAGCACTCGGGAGGCAGAGGGAGGCGGATCTCTGTGAGTTCGAGACCAGCCTGGTCTACAAGAGCTAGTTCCAGGACAGGCTCCAAAACCACAGAGAAACCCTGTCTCGAAAAACCAANAAAAAAAAAAAAAAAAAAAAAAAAAAAAAAAAAAAAAAAAAAAACACCAAGGGGGATGGCTGCTGAGGCGTCGCGACCTCTGGCCTCTGCATACACATGCATGCATAAAGACATGCACATACCTGTACATAAAGAAGAAACCTGACAGACGTGCACTACCACTGTCTAACTACCCATGATGTCAGGAGACAAAGCTGCCCCCTCTAACCATCCAGGCAAAAAACAGCTGCAAGGTGACTTCAGGCTAGTCCTCGAGGTTCAGGGAGCCTTGGGGAGGACTGGCAGGCCCATACCGCATCCACTCCCCCCCCCCCCACGCATCTACAAACACACACACACACACACACACCTACACGCACACACCTACACCCATGCCACCCACACACCCACACACTTACACCCACCTACACACACACCTACAAACACCCACCCATCCACACCCACCCACCTACACACACAAACACACCTACACACACCTATAAACACCCACACTCCCCCACACATCTACACACACGCACATGGTACAATGTACCACCAGAAGTCATCGGTTGGGTGGTATCCACAGCAGATGAGAAATTACAACCGGCCTGTGATTTACAGAGGATGTAAAATACTACTCAACACAGGGAGTTCTTTTGAGTAAGGATTTTATAGTTTCTATAAAAATGATGCACACCTGTTATAAAATATAATTGTGAAAATTCCAGGACGGAACCAAGTATCCTCCAACTCCAGCCCCGGAGCCTTTGATGCTGCTATGCTGTGTGCCCTGCATCTCCGCAGAGATGGACAGGCAGAGGAGCAGTCACGGATGGAGCCACCATGACACGCCAATGTCGGGGAATGTCATGTGAAGGCGTGTTACTTTAGTTTATGTTGTTTCGCTTAACTCTGTGAAGTTGTGTTACTTTGCCTGTCTAGAACACCCGATGGTCTAATAAAGATCTGAATGGCCAATAATGAGGCAGGAGAAAGGATGGGTGGGGTGGGCAGGCAGAGAGAACATACAGAAGAAATCTGGAGGGAAGAAGTAGCCAGAGAAGGAGGAGGACTTCGGAGCCTAGCCATCCAGTTGCACAGCAATCCATGGAGTAAGAGTAAGATTTACAGAAGTAAGAGAATGGGAAAAGGCCAGAGGCAAAGGTAGATGGGGTAATATAAGCTAAGGAAAGTTGGCAAGAGCCAAGTTACGGCCAAGCATTTCTAATTAAGAATAAGCCTCTGTATGATTTATTTGGGAGCTGGGTGGTGGGCCCCCCCAAACCATCAGACTACTACACATCGGAATGTTCACACTCAGCTGCTCTTGACTGTTAGGTACACCGCTGTTCATTTTGTCGTTTGCCTTCAGGATGCACCAAAGACTTGGGAGACAACAGAACTCTGGATGGTGCAGGTATGGCAATATATGCCTGAATCCCAGCACTTGGGAGACTGAACCAGAGTTCAAGCCCAGCTTGAGTGAGAGCCTCTCTCAGATAAACAAAAGGGCCAAGGAGATGGCTCAGTTATCAGAGTGCTTGCCATGCAGGCATGAGGACCTGTGTTGGATCCCAGAACCCTATTAAAACAAACAAGCTGGGTAGTGGTGGCGTACGCTTTTAATCCCAGCACTTGGGAGGCAGAGGCAGGAGGATCTCTGTGAGCTCGAGGCCAATCTGGTCTACAGAGTGAGTTCCAGGACAGTTCCAAAACTACCCAGAGAAATCTTGTCTCAAAAAACCAAAAGAAAAAAAAAAAAACAAAAATCAAACAAACACAAAACTGGGCATCTTTGCATATATGTCTGTAACTGTAGACCTGCAGGAGCTGGAGACGGGAATCACTGGGGTTTACTGGCCACCAATCTAGTCTTTTAGTGAAAGCCTGTCTCAAGGGAGAAAGGCGGAGACTAATGAGGCAAGACACCGGATGTCTTCCTCTGGCCTCTACATACATGAATACAGGCACATGCACACGCATGCACACGCACACACACAGGTGGATGTGAGGAGCAACACTATTGTCGTCCTCTGACCTTCACGTGAACCCATGTGCACACGGGCACACACACACACACACACGTCAGAAGGACACTGTATGACCTCACAACAGAATTAACGCTGGTGTCATAAGACAGCCAAGTCCCCAGCATTCAAACCTCTCCCAGGGCCCCTTCTGGACAAGACGCACAGGACCAGGCTCTTCACGTCCCTTCTGCTCAGCCCTAGAGAGTTGTTCGATTCCTTTCCCTCGGCAGGATGAGTGTAGACAGGGGTCTGCTTCCTTGAGCTCAGACTCTGAGTACTTCGGGGGCAAGTCAGTCCAAGAGAGATGCTATGTCTTCCGTGTGTCTAATGTCCGAGGATGACCATGTGGCCAAGTGATGTCCCTTTATTATTTTGTTTTCCGAGACAGGGTTTCTCTGTGTAGCCCTGGCTATCCTAGAACATTTTCTGTAGACCAGGCTGGCCACAAACTCAGAGCTCTCGAGTGCGGTGCTGAGGTTAAAAGCGTGTGCCAACACAGCCTGGCAATGTCCCTTCATACTGCCCACTGCCCTTGGTGCCCGCCTGGAGCAGAGATTTCTAGAAGACTTCAGACATCACCGTTTGCTGCTAACTTTGGTGACTTCTTGTCTGCGGCACCAACTCTATCACATTTGTTAGGCTGTTTTTTGTTTGTTTGTTTCCTATACTAGTCAGAACTAAGGAGGGCCCAATGTAACCGGTCCCTTTACCAAATAAGGATGCTGTCTGTTGGCTTGCACTGTGAGCATGCTTTCCTGCTCGGTTTGTCTGAGGCAGCCACTGTGGAGCCTCCTGCACTCTACAGCAGCTCTCTGCATTCTGCAGATACTCAGGCTCCCTTGCCCGTTCCCTGCCTTGGCCAGGACCCTGGTTCTTTTGCTGAGACACTAGTATTAGGACACAGACATGGGACATCATGGTTTCCAAGTCCAGGAAATACTGTGTGTACCTGAATGTATGCACATGCCTACCCACCCACTCAGCAGCCTCCCACTTAGAGACCAGGTCTCACGTGGCTTATGCTGGCCTTGAACTTCGTGGATGACCTTGAATTTTTGACCTTCTTGCCTTTGCTTTCCTAGTGCTAGAATTGCGGCCACGTACCATGCCTGTTTATGTGATGTTGGGGACGGAAGGCAAGCCTTCGTGCACACCAGGTCAGCACTCTACCAACTGAGCCACTGCCCTAGTCTCGGTGCCCATCCTGCCTGCTCAGCTTACTGTGGTTAGGGTTCTTCATACCCAGGCTCTTCTGAGTGCTTCAGAGTCAAAATGTATACTTGATAAACTTTCTTTGCTTTTCCTCATATCTGTGTCTTTCTTTATATGTCAGAATATGTCCTTGTTGTTAATGTTTAAATTTCCCATAACAAGCAACAAATTTCCCTACAGTAATTTTTGAAGTTTCCAGGATGAAGATGGGGCCCCACAACATCAACTCAACCTGGTTTTTATGACGTCATGAATATTTTTTTTCTTTTTCTCTTTTTTACACGCTAGTATGAGACCTGTTTTTTGGTACCAACTGCACAAGACAATTTCGAATGGTGCACATTTTTGACAACACTCTGGCCAGGCCTTCTCATAGCACTCAGGGACTAGTTATAATTTTCTTAGGTCAAAGGTTAATTTGGGAATTTTACCATCATTTGCTTTCACAAGAGCCCCTAAGGAGAACATCGCCCCCATGTCAGCTTGAAGCAATCTTAGAGGACGATGTCCCCTCTCCCAACAGAGTTTGCCCTCAGGGTTAGGGACATCTTTTAGTCGTTGGTTTGGGGTTGAGGGGATGGGGAGATGTTTTATGGAATTAGGGGTATGTTCGAAAAAAAAAGGGATTAATTGGTTTGATGGGATGATTGGTATTTGTGAGTTACTGTTTTTAGAAAATTGTATTGGTACTGTTTCCTGTATATTGACATATTGAATATTGAATGTGAGTATTCCTACCTCTATTTTTGTATAAGAGTATGCTTATATTGTATTGATACATCTACCATATCACAATGTACATTTCTACCTCTGATACTATTTATGTAATAACATTGTTTACATTTGATATATAATGACATTGTTTACAGATGAAGATCGTTGTCTCCATATATTGCACAGTTGTTTATTGTCTTAGTCTTTAAGTTAGATAGATATTGAGAATTATATAGATTAATAGTCATCTAAGTTTGTCATTTATAATTAGACTAATCAGGTTCTTTAGATATATAGAGATTATACTCAGTATAGATAGATAATCTTCAACCTCTTTGAAGAGCTGTAGAATATGGCCTTTAATCTAACTCAGAGTTTTGTGGTAGTGAGACACAATTGCTCCTGGCAACACCGCTCTATTCCCGAGAGAATGTTGAGCACCAAAGACACTCCACCTGGAGCCTTTCTTTTTGGCAGAACTGGCCTTGGGGCAAAGAAATGCCCATACCTCAACAACTGACAGATACAGAGTGTGCATCAATAAATAAAACAGGACTGTCATATCCTGCCAAGACAGGGTAAGATAGTTTTGAAAAGTTGCTTGCCTTTGAAAATGGTATGTCAGTTATGTTAGGCCTTAGCCAAAGTTGGTTGCTTCAACGCTGCAAACATGACTTTGGGTGATTGCCCAGGTAGCTAGTTGTCTCTGTGATTTGTTGCATGTTTTGGAAGTTGTTTTACTGAACTTCCTAATTACCCAGGTAACATTATTTCCCTTCTCAGATCTTTGATGGGGTTGAAGACTATATAAATGTAGTTACTTTTTTCTCACGACTTGGCCAAGTTATTTATTATACAAGACCTAAGCTAGTTAGAATAGGATATTTGTACTTATTGTATATAATTTCATAGTAGGTTTAGAACTCTCTTACTTAAATAAAAGGGGGAGGTGTTGCGGGAGGTCTTTCCGCCCCTCCAACCAATAGCTGCTGTGATACCAGCCCATTGGGGCGTGGTCTCACTCCCTTTAAAAAAGCGGCTATTTCCTCTGCTCGCTCTCTTCTCTTCCTGCTCGGCTGGAAGGTTCACCATGCTGTGCTCAGGTACCCGCTTCGTTTACTCTGATTTGTTTCTACAGTGGATGGCTGTGTAGCCTCCTGCACCTTTTCCTTTGAAACACACGGCAGATTTTACTCATTCAGTGGAGGTGCTAAGGCCGGGGGCTGTGTCCTGTCAGCTCAGAATTCTTCATTTTTCCAGACAGGGTTTCTCTGTGTAGCTCTGGCTGTCCTGGAACTCACTCCGTGTAGATCAGGCTGGCCTTGAACTCACAGGGATCCCCCTGCTTCTGCCTCCCCAGTGTTACCATGCCTGGCTAGCTCAAAATTTTCTTATGCGCTGTCCAGGTCTGTGGTGAGGATTCACTGCAGGTGACACTCTGCAGCTCTCCTGCCCTGCAGCTCACATGCGCATCCTGCACTCCAGGGAGTGAGCTTGGGAATTATGAGCAAGGCTATGGCGACACTGTACAGTTGAGCCATAGAACCATGTCACATTGGGTGACAGCACCAAATGTTCAGTGGGAGCCATCACTGCTGACCTGCGCTGTGTGGCTGAGCTCAGCGAGCATGTGGAAACACGCAGACCTTGGGGTACCTGACCGTGGGTTTAACTAAGAAAGAGCCCTTCTGTACAACAGAAAATGGGGCTCCCAGACAGTCATATCCATTGAGACCAACATGAACATGCAGAGTCCTCAACCCCTCCCTGGTGGTTTTGTGTTTGTTTTTGAGAAAGGGTTTCTCTATGTAGTCCTAGCTGTCCTGGAATTTACCATGTAGATCAGGCTGGTCTTGAACTCAGAGATTCACCTGCCTCTGCTTGAGCGCTAACGTTGTGGGCCACCATACCTGCACCCCTAACCCCCACCTCTCACCACCTTTTACCAGTCAGACAGAAGCCAGGCAAGCAGTCTGGGCTAGCCCTTCTCCGACAGCTCCAGAAGACACAAAGAGGACTTGAGCCTGGTGGCATCTGGCATTGGTATTTTGCTGATGTCTTTGAACCCTGCACATGGCAAAAGCCCTCAGTCAGGTGCCTCAGCATGAAGGCGCCTGAATGTTCAAACACCCACAGCTCAGCATTGCTCACTGTGCCCACGACAGGGTCACCGTTCAGCACCCGGGGTCTCGAGCCAGCACTGGTCGATACGACACACGGGGCTAACAGGCTGAGGAAGTGAAAAAGTAGCTGGCACTAGCCCAGGTTCTAGGGCACTGCTGGTGTGCCCTGTGGCGGCGCACAGTGGGTTCCTGAAAGGAAACTGACTCAGAACGACCAGAAGACGACCCTCAGCATAAAGACACCCGCTGCTATACCAGAAAAATAAGAGAGTTCAGTTGACGAGTTCCACCAAGCCTGGTGAACAGGGTTCAATCCCTGGGACCCACATGTGTAAGGAAAGTAATGACCTCCGTAAGTTGTCCTTACACACACACACACACACACACACACACACACACACACACACACACTGGACAGCGCTCCCCTAAATAAATAATATGCAATTTAAAAATAAGTACTGTGCTGGGGACATGGTTCAGGTGGTGGGGTGTTTGCTGAGCATGCGGGGAGCCCTGGGATCCATCTCCCAACTCATGAACCAGGTGCAATGTGCACACCCGTAATCCCGGCTGTGGACTTGGAGGCAGAAGAATCAGGAGTTCAAGGTCATCCTTGGCTACATAGGGAGTTTGAGGCCAGCTTGGGCTACAGGAGACCAAGCCTTAAAACATACAAAACAAGAAGTCAAGTATGTCAAAAGTCAAACAGTTTCCCACTTCCTACTTTGTATTCCAGTTTAGTTCAAAGAAAAGAACAGAGACGAAGGGAAACGAGTTGGCGAGTTGGTGCGTGTGTGTCTGAGCACGAAGGACGGACATTCTGACGTCACATGGTTTCACTGACAGGTTCTAGTATAAAGACTTGGGTCTGTGACAGGCTGAGTCACTGTGGAAAGCTGTCCGGGCTCTGTGGTGTGATGGCCACACTGGGCAGGATATCACATCGGAGTTCGGCCCTGAGGGGATCCTGTGATACACACAGTTGGAAGAATAAGACCACCGCCTGAGGGAAAGTGAGGACAGCTGAGGAAGCATTTTGGGGTGCTCTCCAGTCCCCTTGGGGACTCCCTCCACTGAGCAGCACAGGTGAGCCTCGGGTCTCCTGGCTCTGTGGGCAGAAGGGCTCAGATCTGCTTCAGGCAGTTGGGGAGCTGGCCCGTGGTTTTCTTCTCAGCATTTGTCCTTGGCCTCCGGCGTCTCGTCCATCACATCTCTGAAGCCCAGCTTCTCCAGTGGCTCTGGGGCCATCAGCTGCCTGGAAGAGAAAGACGCTGCCATGGGACCATGCTCTTATGTTCACTCATCTACCCAGCCTCCCGCACCCCAACAGAGAACAGGGTCCTCCCCACAGCACAAGGAGCCCACAGGCCGTGTGAGCCCCAATGTCCCTTCTGGCCACACGGTCAGCCCAAGTTCTCAAGGGCGGGGCTGAGGATGTGGGTGGAGCAGATAGGACATGACCCCACGGGTGTGAGCAGAGCCTGGGAGAGCCGAGGCTAGGTAAGTGTCCCCATAGTTGAGGAGGACCAGGGGTAAGAAGAGCAGGGCTGACCAGTGAGCTCCAGGCTGGCGAGATTCTGTCTCCAAAAATGGGATGGGTGGCCTCTGACAAACAAAACCCAAGGCTGATATTCACAAGCACAAAATGCATACACACGCAGCCAAAGGAATGCTTCCAATGTGCCTCTGTCTCCTAAGGGAACTCACTTGGAAAGATGTTTGCAGCACTCTGGTGCCCTCCTGAGGGCTCAGCCCTGACTGCCTGTCCCAGCCCCACTCACTCCAGACACACTGTGCAGGATTTTCACATCCTCCTGTAACCTTTGCTTCTCTGGAGTGGGGACAGGAGGTCAAGGCTGGGCTGCACAGGCCAGCCCCCTGAGGTTACTCAAGCCCATGAGGGATATTTTAATTTAATTTTTTTTTTAAATATTTATTTATTTATTATGTATACAATGTTCTGTCTGTGTATATGTCTGCAGGCCAGAAGAGGGCACCAGACCTCATTACAGATGGTTGTGAGCCACCGTGTGGTTGCTGGGAATTGAACTCAGCACCTTTGGAACAGCAGGCAATGCTCTTAACCACTGAGCCATCTCTCCAGCCCTTAATTTAATTTTTATTTATTTTATTTTATCTTTGTTTTTTTGAGACAGAGTTTCTCTGTGTTGTTCTGACTGTCTTGAAACTTGCTCTATAGATGAGGCTGACCTTAATCTCACAGAGATCTGACTGCCTCTGCCTCCCTAGTGCCGTGATTAAAGGTGTGTGCCATTACTGCCCAGTGTTTAATTTCTAATTGCATCTATTTATGTATTTTGTGCGCACACGCTAAGTCAGCTTGAACTGTATGTTTGACAATTTCATTCCCAACTAGCCTAACAAAATAATGGAGCAGCCAAGCATGGTGTCATACACCTGATACACCCACCATCCTAACACTCAGGAGGCTGAGGCAGAAGGACTGCCAGAAGTTCTAGGCTGGCCTGTGTTATTAGACCTTGTCTAGACAATTAAAAAAAAATCCAAACCCACCAACCACACAATGAAACCAAAAGAATCTTTCCACCACCAGACAAAAACAGAAGCATCTTTGCTTGTCTGCACTGCCTAGCTCAGGCCCCTATAAGTCACAGAAGTGGGTGGGCTCTTCCTTCTGGGCTCTGAGGCACCCGTTCTACACGGTGCTAAGTGTGGCACAGATGCATGGGGACTAGGAGGTCCAAAACTAGTTCATCCCACTGACAACAGGCAAGAAGTCCCTCTGCTGGTCCTGCCCAGAAGCCTTGTTCATAGACCAGTAGCTTCCCCAGGGGACCACAAACCAGCCACATCCTCAGAACAATCATAGGTAGGAGCCACTGTGATCTGTGCCAGGTGTGAGAGTCAAAACAAGTCTGCTCAACTTTTTTCTATTTTTGGCACAGGGGATACTGTAGGTAGAATCCGGGGCCACACAGACTCTGAAATGTATTACTACTGAGCCACACCCCAGCCCCTCCCTGGGGGATTCTAGGCAGCTGCTCTACCACTGAGCCACACCCCAGCCCCTCACTGGGGGATTCTAGGCAGGGACTCTACCACTGAGCTATATCCTCAGCCCTGTTTTTTCTCATTATTTTGAGATAAGATCTTAATAAATTTCCCAGATTTTTTTTTAAATGTTTGACTTTCTTTTTGTAAGATTTATTTATTATGTATACATGTGTTCTGGCATGTATGCCTATGCACCAGAAGAGGGCACCAAATCCCATTATAGACGATTGTGAGCCACCATGTGGTTGCTGGGAATTAAACTAAGGACCTCTGGAAAAGCAGCCAGTGCTCTTAACCTCTGAGCCATCTCTCCAGCCTGCCCAGATGGTTCTTGAACTCATTCTTTAGCCCAGGCTGACCTCACACTCTCCATCCTCCTGCCTCAGCCTCTTGGGCCAAGGGGATGGCAGGCCTGAGTTACGGGCCGCAGTCTTGCTCTCACTTGCTGCATTCGCCCAGCTTGTCTGTGAAAACCTCTCCTGCAGACACCAAGACACAGGGGCTGAGCCTGGGGAAGGCAGGAACCTGCTCACATCCTTGTCCCCAGGCTGGCGTCGCTCTGTCCCTCTTCTAAAGCTCAGCAGAACCAAGAAGAAATTCTTGGCCACCTTCTGAGGCTACAGGCAGTCACCCTGAGGCTCTGTGGCAGCCATGTGCCACCTGGAAGCAGCAAGATTAGGACAGACTCAAGCACTGTTTGCAGTGGCAGGACAAGGCCTTACAGTCAGTCATCCCCACTGCCCAAGTCGAAACCCCCACACTGTAACCCCCACATGCCTACACCTCAGGGACTTGTCTGGGTGTGTCGAGCAAAGAAAGCAGGCTTAAGTGGACCACTGGCATCTCGCATCTTGAGAGACTGAAGTGCCTGAATTCCTGTGTGTGCAACTGCAAAGACCCCTCCCCCGCGCAGTGACACACAACCTGCTTCTTCATGTTCATAGCTAGAATGGCTCTCATTCTAATGCAAAGCTCCACGGATCGCTATTTTCGTTCTGTTTAAACTTGGGGGAGTGTAGGCATCGCCATCCATCATCGCTTAAGTCTCCTATTGTGCCCGTTACATTCCAAACAGCTTTCAAGGGAAGGGACGAGGCAATGCATGTTCTTACGGGCTGAGATCGTGAAAGGGATGAAAACCTGTCGGCTCAGTCAGCGCTGCTGTGATGGACGATTCTGAGAGCTTAATGAGAGGGACAAAGCTCCAAGGAATGGGGCCGTGGACAGGGCTGTCACTCACAAAGGGGTTCCCAGGGCAGCTTGGCAGCCTCGGTGCCACCTCACCTGCTAAGCGGTGACTTCTTCCAGCAAACATCAGCCACTGGGCTATGGCTGGGAAGATAAAACAGAGTTCTTTCCCCAGAACCCACATAAAGAAAGCTGGGTATGCTGGTATGTTTACAATCCCAGCACTGGGAGGCAGGAGTGGGAAGATCCCTTGCTTACCTGTGGCCAGCCTAACCTCATTAGTAAACTCCAGGCCAGCAAGAGACCTTGCCTCAAAAAACACAGTGGGAACTGGGGAGATGGCTCAGCATCTCTTGCTTGTTGCTCGTTCAGAGGACCAGGGCTCAGCTCCCAGCACCCACATGGTGGTTCACAACACCCTACACACACCAAGGGATCAGAACTCAGGTCCAAATGTGATGGTGGTACTCGCCTTTGCATCCTGCACATTAAATACTCCTTAGATTCATTTCTGCACAAAGCATTTTCAAAATTCTTGTCACGGAGACACTTCATGAATTTTTCTTTAAAGCTTTTACATTCACCTAGAAAGAAAAGGAAGACAGTGTTCTGTTTGCAAAGAGAAGACCTGACCTGCTCACTCGGCAGCCGTGGGGCAGTGCTATGATTTCCATCAAAATTTGTTTCCTTCCTGGGCTCTGGATGCGGGATAGAGTGCATGCTTGGCATACAGTTCCCTGGGTTCAATCCTTATCACTTCAAAAACAAAAAACAAAACAAGGGGTGAAGAGATGGCTCACTCATTATGAACACCGGCTGCTCTTGTACAGGAAATGAGTTTGATTCCCAGCACCCACATCGGGCAGTTAACAAATGTCTGCAACTCCAGCTCCAAGGGATCAAACACCTTCTGGTCACCAAGGGTACTGCACACACATCATGTATACACTCTGATGCACACGCATAGACTCAGATGCACACACATCCACTCAGATGCACACACATCCACTCTGATGCACACACATCCACTCAGATGCACACACATCCACTCTGATGCACGCGTATCCACTCTGACACATACATATCCACTCTGATGCACGCGCATATACTTTGATACATGTGCATATACTTAGATGCACGCACATCCACTTTCATGCACATGCATCCACTCTGATGCACACGCATAGACTCAGATGCATATACATAAAGTTAAAATTTTTAAATAAATTTTTAAAATGGAAAATTCCCCAAATAAATGTTGGTAAAGAAATAATCTAAGGGGCTGGAGAGATGGCTCAGTGGTTGAGAGCATCGCCTGCTCTTCCAAAGGTCCTGAGTTCAATTCCCAGCAACCACATGGTGGCTCACAACCATCTGTAAAGAGGTCTGGCGCCCTCTTCTGGCCTTCAGGCATACAGACAGAATATTGTATACGTAATAAATAAATGAATAAATATTTAAAAAAAAAAGAAATAATCTAAGGAGATTAGATGGCTTAGTGGGCAAAGGTACTTGCTACCAAGACTGCCAATGTGAGTCTGAGCTCCAAAACCCATGTGGTAGAAAGAGATAACCCCCCAACTTCCACAAGTTATCCTTTGGCCACATGTGTGCCATGGCACACCCTCAAACACACCAAATAAATAAATATAATTTAGAAATAGAATAATCTCAATGAGGACTGATGAGAAGCCAAGGTCAATGGCAAGGGGTTTTGATCCTACTTCATGTTCTGGCTTGGTGGGAGCCTAGCCAGTTTGGATGTTCACCTTCCTAGACATGGAGGGAGGGGGGAGGACCTTGGACTTTCCACAGGGCAGGGAACCATGACTGCTCTTTGGATAGGAGAGGGAGGGGGAGAGGAGTGGGGGGAGGGGGGGAGGGGTGGGGGGGGGGGGGGGGGGGGGGGGCGGTGGCGGTGCGGGGGGGGGGGGTGGGGGGGGGGTTGGGGGGGGGGGGGGGGGGGGGGGGGGGGGGGGGGGGGGGGGGGGGGGGGGGGGGGGGGGGGGGGGGGGGGGGGGAGGGAAATGGGAGGCTGGGAGGAGGCGGAAACTTTTTTTTTATTCTCAATTAAAAAAAAAAGAAATAGAATAATCTCTAAAGCTGTCTCTGGAACATCACAGTGTCAGCAGCATTTTGTAGGGTTGTTTCCATTTGTGGTAGGCTTGGGTTTTTTGGTTTGTTAGTTTTCTTTCTTTTTTTCTTAGAGCTGAAGACTGAACTCAGGGCCTCCGTTTCTGTGCATGCTAGGCCCCAGTTCATGAGACTATCTCCAACCCTCTCTGGGTTGTTTATGGTTTTGTTCCTTCACAGGCTCCAGTTTTCCAAAAGGACATTATCTGTAGACTTCAGAACTGTGAATAGCAATCCTCGGGGCAGGAGCCACAGCTCAGAGGTGGAGCACTTGCCAAGTCCGGGTTCCAGCCTCAATATTAGACATCAAACCCTTTTTGAAAATAATTCTTTGCCTAATGTTCACTGAAGACCCAGAGCCTCAAGCTGGGGAGTGAGGGTGGCTCCTGGGCTGGCAACAGGGATACCTAACATCGAGACCCGGAAAGAATCCGGGAGTCCCGTCACCATCCTGAGCTCTCGGTTGGAAGGACCATACCATGGCAAGTGGCTCTCTGAAATAGGAATCCTCAAGACTCAGTTTCCCTGCCTGCACCCACACAGGGCTCTGAGAGGTCGCTGGAGCTCTAACTGCTCTGCACTCCTAGGTCCAGTACCTCAGGCTCCACCCACCAGATCTAGCATCCCAGGTCCTGGTACCCAAATCCAATAGACCTGACCCCGCCACTCAGATCCAGCACCCCACACTCTGGCTCTCAGTGTGTCCAGTACCTCAGGCTCCACCCACCAGATCTAGCATCCCAGGCCCTGCCACCCGGATCCAGTACCCCTGAACCTGCCATCTATCACAGAGAAACAGCACTCCAGACTCTGCCACCCAGACTGAGTGCCCAGAGCCTAAATCCAGATCCAGCACCCCTAACCCTGTCACTCAATCCCAGCGACGCTGACCCTGTTATCCAGAACCAGTATCCCAGACCTTGCCATCCACATCCAATTCTCCTGTCTCTGTCACCTGTCACCGAGAAACAGCATTCCAGACCCTGCTCCTCAGACTCAGCACCCCAGACGCCGCCACCTAGACTGAGTACCCTTAACCCTGCCACCCAATCCCGGGCCACCGGCAGCCTGAGCCTCGCCTCGCCTCACCGAAGTGGTCCAACGGGAAGCTTCCTTTGTCTGGTGGCCGTGGCTGGAAGCTTTTGGTCCCGAAGTTCATTGCGGTCGACATGACGGCGGAATCAAGAGCAGGGCGCAGCGGCAACGCAGGGCGGACGGCCGAGCACCGAGCAGGCCCGGGAAGTGCCGAGCTAGTCGAGCGGTGGGCCTGCCCCTCCCCACCCTGCCCCGATCCTCCCGTATAGGCCCCGCCCCCAGCAGTCTAGGCCCCGCCCCCGCTGTGCTCTGATAGGGCGCAGTGGTGGCCGCAATCAGAAGCTTTTCAGTCCTCCTTTCTGCAAAAGGCCGGCCAGCTTTTGGTACCAAAGAGTGAACAAGGCTGGATAGGTGCAGCCCTTTGCCCGAGGACACCAGTTTGTGCCCCGGGGTCTTCATCCCATCCAGTTGTCTGCCAGGGACTGAGTTTCTCATATGCGCAGAGGGTCAAATCAAGGCAAGAAGCACACTAAAGGAGGGAGTGGCTAACTTCCTGTGGGTGTTGAGACACAGTACCACAAACGGGTTTTACAGTCAGAAATTAAGGCAGGGTATAGTGCTTCACACCTGTAGTCCCAACGGCGGGCTTTTAGGCAAACCTGGGCTTCACAGCAAGACTCATTCTCACAAAACAAAACTGCCCCAAAGGGCATCTCCTATGGTTCAAGAGACTAGACTTCTGAGCCTAAGGTGTGGGCCATTAGCCCTCTGCTCCAGGGAGCCCAGGTCCACCCCCCCACCCCCGCCTCTGGGATGTTCTGTCAATCTTGGGGAATTCTGGATTGCTAGAAGCAATGCTCCTCCTGTGCCCCCACTTCTGGTGGCGTTCTCACCATGTGTCTGTGTCCAAGCACTCCTTATGTGAGGCCACTGCCACATTGGAGTAGGGCCATCCCAATAATTTTTTTCTCTTTATTTCTTTTCTTTTTGTTTTCCATTTGTATTTTTGAGACAGGGTTTCTCTGTATAGCCTTAGCTGTCCTGGAACTCTCTCTGTAGACCAGGCTGGCCTCAAATTCAGAGAGCTGCCTGTCTGCCTCCTGAGTGCTGGGATTAAAAGTGTTAACCACCATGCCCACCTCATTGGAACAATTTCAGCCTCAGCTGCTCAAAATCTGCCGTGACATTATTTCAGATGAGGCCATCAGGTCCTGGGGGGTACTGTGCCATGTGGATTTGGAAGGAATGTTCCGTGATAATGGGATGCAGTCAAATGACCTGTTATGGCAACAACACCTGTCCCCAGAACCCTGCTTTCCAGCTGGGGACAGAGAAGCCCACTTGCTCCCTGCCTCCCAACACTGGCTGTGATTGTGGGACGCTGTCCATCATTCCATCTTAACCACAGATGGTCTCTATGTCACACAGTCATCCAGACCCTGGCAATGAGCATCGATGGGCTCATAGCAGCTCCTCAGGGCCGCTGTCCCTCTACAATCCTCTGACAGATCCCAACATCCCTAATAATTCCCAGGGACTGCTGAGAGGTGGTTGGCCAACAGATCTTTAGCCTCACCCCAGCGCCCACTCTCTTTTACCTTGCTGGATCCCCCTCCTCCATAGCTATCCATTGGTCTCCTTGCTGAGTCTCATGCTGGCTTCCTGTGTGGGAGTTTGGATTTAGCTTCCAGTGTCCAGACCTATAGGCTGCCTTGCAGAAGGGTACCACCTCCTTAACCCAAACCTCCTAGTTCAGTTTACCTCTCAGGAAGGTGCCTGGGAAGATGGCTTAACAGGCAAGAGTACTTGCTATATAAGCATGAAGACCTGAGTTCAAATCTCTAGAGCCCATAAAAAAAGAAAAATAAGTCACCCGGCCTAAATCCCCATCACTGTAAGGGATTGGGGTGTGCTGGCTGCCAGCCTACCTCCAGGGTCAGCAAACACCTGTCACAAGGGGTTAAGGTAAACAGGACGCCCGACATTCTCCTCTAGTTTCCACATGTGCATGGGGCACACACATACACACATATACCACACACACATTTGCACACATGTGCATACACACACACACACACACACACACAGAGCGTGGCCAGGGAGACTCCAGAAGGAAAACTGTACTTTGTTCTTGTCATATAAACAACCCTTTCCCATCTTTCCCATGCCTGGAACCAGGGGCCACACACTGAGTTACTCAATTTTTTTTTTTTTTGAGCTGTGAAGAATGGTGACTTTTGTGACCAAGCAGCCCTTTCTGCTTAAAATGAAAGGATATTTCTGTCCCTGAGGTGGCAGGACCTCGGTCAGGCAGCCCTGAAATAACAAGAAAGCAGGCAGGGACTGGTGTCTGGGCCATGACAGCAAGCTTTTAATCCGCATTTCTAGGAAACGGGTACTGCCTTGAATGAGCTTTTTTGGTTGTTGTTTGTAGCTCTGGCTGGTCTCAAACTCACTGAGATCTGCCTCCTAAGTGCTGGCTTCCTAAGTGTTGTGATCAAAGGTGTGCACCACCACACCCAGCTGTTTAGCTGAGGGAAGTGTGTGTGTGTGTAGTTGGATACACCTGTGTGTGCACACGTGGAGGCCTGAGCAGGATGCTAAGTATCTTCTTTCGTATTGCTTTAAAGTAGGGTCTCTCTCTGAATTGGAAGCTCACCATTTTTTGGCAAAGCTGGTTGGCTAACAAGCTCTCAAGATCCACTTGTCTGTGTGTCCCTCCAGTGCTGGGGTTCCTGGCATGTGCAGCCATGCCTGGTTTTTTTTTTTTTTTTTTTTCTCGAGACAGGGTTTCTCCGTAGCTTTTTTGGTTCCTGTCCTGGAACTAGCTCTTCTAGACCAGGCTGGCCTCTAACTCACAGAGATCCGCCTGCCTCTGCCTCCCGAGTGCTTGGATTAAAGGCATGCGCCACCACCGCCCGGCTGCATGCCTGGCTTTTTATGTGGATGCTAGCATTTCAAACTCAGACCCTCATGGTTGTGTATAGCAAGCACCCATACTTACTAAGCCATCTCCCCATCTTTAGAGACAGAATCTCTCACTGACCCTAAAGCATCCTAATTCAGGAGACTGGCTAGCCAACGAGCCAGTAAACCCCAGGGATCTGCTAGTCTGACTGGTCATCACTGGGATTGCTCAGGTGATAGGTTTTCCATAACCCCATAACAGGTTTCTCTGCCGACCCAGTAAGCCAGATCAAGCTGAATTAAAAAGCAAAAGACCGGGTATATTCGAGCAAAGCAACTCCCGGGTGAGTCCTCCAGCTGCCAGAGATCTTAGGTTCCGAATGCTGACTATCCTCCACAGACTGGGTTTGTTCCCAGTCGTGGGGGGGGGGGGGCTTGAGAAGCTAGCAGCCTAGTGGGAGGAGCCACGCCCCGGGAAACTGGACTCCTAGCAGCCCCTCTGAGAGGACAGGGTTTGGAGAGAGAACTGGGCCGAGCTGGAGAGCCAACTGAATACTGAATATCATGTACCAAGCATTTGGCTTTCCTAAGGAAGCTGGGGATCTAAACCCAGGTCACCATGCTTGCAATGGCAAGTACTCTACCAAGGAAGCCATCTGTCCAGCCCTGAGATGTTTCTTTTTAATATATAATTTTCAGTTTGTGTCTGAAAAGTGGCGACAGAACTCCCAGCTTTACCTGATGTTGTACTACAGCAGCCCACTCAGGAGACAGGAGCATGGCTGTGTCCTTGGACTGTGTTCTACGCCTAGGTTCTTCCACGTCACCCAGGCTTCCTCCCAAAGCTGGGTGGGAACTCCATCGCTTTATGACCTAGCCTGCAGAGAGCTCCAGCATCCCCCCACAGTGCCTCTAGAGCCAAGTGCGGGAAATACAGACCCCTTCTGAGCCTTCCAATACCAACACAAACAACATTGTATTACATGAAGTACATATGATCGGGAGCATCTTGCGTGGCCATCTTTGGTGGATACTCAGGTCAAGGCCAGATGGAACATAAACCAGGAATCTGAGCTCTGCACACAGGATTGCTCAGGGCAACTGTCAGCCTGGCCCCAAGTAAGTCTGATGAGAACAGACCCTCAGTGGATTGAGCAACCGCGCTGGAGACAGTTGGCGCCACACCTTTGTAGGGTGTGGGGGAAATTCCATAAAAACTTAAAAAGGGAACAGCCCGGGGCTGGAGATGTAGCTTAGTAAAACTAAGATTTAATCCCCAGCATTGAAGAAAAAAAAGAAGAACAGCTACAGGCATGATGGTGCCTACCACGCCAGCCAGCACTCTTGGGAGGAGGAGTTAATGGTCAACCTGAACTAAACATAGACTGTCTCAAAACCTTAGAAATGGGATGTAATTCAAGGTGCCTATTTAACATATCACAACGGGCCTGACCACCAGGTTCTCCCAATATTCTTTAGTCCCTACCTGTGACTGGGCATATAGCTGGCATGCCCTGCCCCCACCCCAAATTTCTCCAGCCTAGGGGTTGGGCTGCCCTTCTCTCAGCTGCCCTAATTTAGATAATCCAGCGATTTTGTTGACCTGGTTCTTTTTCTTTGCTTTTTTTCTTTTCTTTCTTTTCTTTTTGTTTTCCTTGAGACAGGGTTTCTCTGGGTAGCTTTGAAGCATTCCCTGGCACTTGCTCTGCAGACCAGGCTGGCTTCGAACTCACAGAGATCATCCTGCTTCTGCCTCCTGAGTGCTGGGATTAAAGGCGTGCGCCACCACCGGGAGGCAGAGGCAGGCGGATCTCTGTGAGTTCGAGACCAGCCTGGTCTATAGAGCTAGTTCCAGGACAGGCTTCAAAGCCACAGAGAAACCCTGTCTCGAAAAACAAAAAACAAAAAACAAAAAAAGGCATGCGCCACCACCACTCAACAACCAGGCTCTTTTTGCCTACCCACCCCTTCCTCCCCTGGCTTTCCCCTATCCCCTCCCCCCTTCCACCTCACATTGCCCAGCTCAGGATCACGGACTCTCCTAAACGTCCCTGCCTCTGGCAATGCTCTCCCTCGTATCTACAATAAACCTTCTCCAGCATGACCTAGGGGCAGCCATGTCCTTTTGATTTCTTAATTCTTTTTTCATTCATCTAGCACCTGCTTGGAAGCCCCCAGTGAGGGGCTGAGAATGTGCCGCAGTACAGAGAACTTGTCTAGCAAGGCCCTGGCTTTGATTCCAACCCCCCCCCACAAGAAATGACAACGAACCCTGTACTTCATGCAGGCGTCCATCCCTTTGCTCAGA